GCATGTTCGGAAATCCGTGGGCCAGGGGGAGTGTAGGCAGTCTAGGGGGGGGGTGGGGGCAGTCACTTGACATGCGTGAAAAGCTGGAATGTTCGAGTTTACACTGTCTCGCTCGAGAGAGCCCAGGTGAGCAGACTGCCGCGCCGCCGCGTGGTCCCCCCCAACCCAAGTTAGCACCGGGAAATAGTGTTCTTTTGTCGGATTGTCATTGTGAATGTTATGCTTCCCATTCGTTTTTTGAATGTAGTTCATTTTATACCTTAATTTTTTGTAATACTACCTCAATTGGTTACTTAATTTTTTGTAGATCGGGTTTTCTACGGGGCCGTGACGAGATGCCGAGTACTTGCGTACGAAGCGTTTCGCCGAGGAACACCCTGCCCAGACCCACGCCGAAGCGACGCCCTCTGAAGAGACCATCGGTGACAACAACACGACGACGTGAGTTATAACGTTTTTTGTTTTCGTTTTTTTTCTTTAAAAAGAGATTTGATTTCTTTTTTTCTCATTTATTTGTTTCGCAGTGCGTTGGTTTTGTGTGAGTTATAGACCATTGGTCCAACCTTGCTCATTCTAAATGGCCGTGCTTTCTTTATGATATTTCGCTCGTTGTATATTGTGTGTACTTTTGAATAATACCACTCTTTATGATAGCAATCTACATTTATTGCCGGTGTTACCATTCATACACCCACCCAACCACACAAATCCGATCTTGTACTGGATGTGCTTTTTTGCGGTCCTTATTGCGACCCCATTTTCCTTTTGGATCTTTAGTTTGGCTGGAATAGATATTGAGCAAATAGACGGAGACATCTTGTGCCACATTAAAGCCTTTGGTGCCACCTTGGTTGAATAGCGTTCTCATTCGGAAATCAAGCAATTCGCTGACGAAATATTGTCATTGTGTTCCCCTTTCTCAATCCCCCTCTGGTTCTCTTCCTCTATCCATTCCATCCATGGCGAATGGCTTGAAATGCCTTAATTAAGCTGGTATCGGGGCGCCAGTGCAATGCAGAGCGAGCGCTCACAGTGCAGAATCAGTCGTTTCTTTCGCCGTCATCATCATCATCATCGCTGCACTTGTGCTATCGCAACGAATGTTGGCCGAAAGTATGTCGAAATAGCAGACGAAATCCTGTCCGATCCGCTCGTTATCAGCACGTAGCTGTTCTTGTACTCCGCAACTATCGTGCTATCGATCCGGTTCCGTTGATTCTGGTTCCTTTTCCCTTTCGCTTGAGGCGTCATTCTGGCCCATACCTCGTTCTCCTCCGAAGTTGTGCCAAGTATCTTTGTCATACTTCCTGGCTTTTGGGTTAATACTGAAGAAATTCGATGCTGAGTAGCCCATTTAACAATTCAGTATGATCAGATCTTACTGTTTACCACAAGTCGTAGCCTGGTGGCCGTTCGCCAGCTGTTGTTATAGTTATCGCCTTTGTAGCACTTTTAGTGCTCTGGAGCCTTTTGGTTACTGATCTGAGTCATACAGTGGTTCTGCGGTCAATTCTTGTTCGTCTGTCCGAACCCTACATCGCCTAGTTTTGCTCAAGACATTAGATATGAGCTGGTTCGTATAGCAAAAGCCGCTTCTAGTTGAAATTCCGGCCCAGTAGATATTGTCTCGCCGTGGCCGCGTCTGTCCATTCGTGACGAGCACTGGTCGGACGGGCAGCACGTAGCGCGAGGTGCAGTTGTTCGTACTGTGGTTTTCAGCAGCTACGGTGTCTCCCCTTCTATCGAGTCTGGTTCTTTTTGAATATTGTCACAACTCTCTTTATCCTTCTTTTTAAGAGCCAGAGTAGATCAGGGCATTGTTTTTAGCGCTGTACGATTAATAATTGTCACAGAGTTGATACATTTCCCATTTTTCACTTTGTCGCTGTGTATCAGGCCGAGCAGCTGGTGCTTCCGGTCTTCAATTTGCGTTCAATTTTTCTTTCACAAGAAAGAGAGGAGCGCTAGGCTCTCTGTGTATAATGGCCGGGAACCTTCAATTAGTTTCGAGGCTACGTCCATCGAAGGAGGATTTATTGCAGGTTTTTGCACAGGGGTGGTTCCAATCCAATTCGGTCTCTTTGCCTGGTATTTCCCAGCTTATACGCTAATTGTGCGAGGCCATCCATGATCGGTAGGCACTGAGAAACGGGTGATGCTGTGAACGTGGTCACAGTAAGCTAAGCTTCAAAGGATATGAATCGCTTTCACCGAGCATTGTTGGAATGAATAGTGTCAATTAAGCTTTCGAGGTCTTGAGGTCACATTTTCGTGGACCAAAGAAGCAAAAAATGAATTCGAATCAAATTGGAACGAGAAACTTAGAACTGTCTTTCCGAATGCTGGGAGTTACTCCTATATTCAAGCAGGTGTAATTTGAAAAAATCAATTTCGGCAAATAGGGCTGTGTCTGGCCGAATCCCTCGTTTCATTATTGATTCCGAAGGTTGTATTGGTTGTACTTTCGCAGTTGACTCTCTGAGCGGGGCGAGCTTTTTTCAATACCACACTTTGTCACTTTATGGTTCCAAGGCCCTGTATTGAATCGGTAGCTCTAAAGGTGTGGGTATTTCCATACGCGCTGGGCTACATAGGTGTTTTTCATTCATAGCACATTCACTGCATAATTCGTTGACCCCAGATCGGTTGCTATCAGCACCGACGGAGTGATGAGCATCTGTCTGCGCACTTCTGAATAGGCGGTGTGGAGTTCTTCCATCTAGAATTCCTTATGATCTTATTGTGTTGAAGAATTTTTTTTGCCGTTCTTACCCAATTCACGAACGATCTTCAACGGTTATCTTTCGTTCTCATCTCGAAAGCAATAAATATAACCCTTTTATGTCGCCGGATAGCTTTTTTGATCTTATATTTATGGTCTAATCTGTGCAGTTTTCTTTATTTCTTAATAGAAACTATTCAATTTCCTACATAAAATTGGCGATATGAAATGCGTGTTCTAGTGCATCACTGTTGTCGAATCGAACGATGTGGTGCTTTTCACTTTTTCGGGGTGTCGGGAACATTTCATAATGAATAGTGCAGCAGCTGGGGGCCGAGTTGCACATCGTTGGTATCTTTGCTGGTGAATCGATTCTAACCAGTGTACTTGCTGCTTTTATTCATTTCGCTCCACTTTTTCTTTTTTCTTCTGCCTTAGTCAAAACTATCTTCATTTCTAACTCGAATTTTTGACTGACATTTTTGTACACACCGTTGCACAAATTTATACGCTGCTGAGGAGGAGGAGTAGGGAGTGGGGGGGGGGCAAAAAGTTACTTTATGAGTTGCAAACTTCACGTCGCAAGTTTCGTTGTGGCGGATGGTAGTTCCGCGGCAAAATAATTCTGAAATGTCTCGTTTGAGTAGCAGAATAAGCCGTGATTTTGCCACCTGACTTGTGGTTCGGACAAAGTCGACCTTAGTGTATGACCGTCGAAGGTCAACCAGTCAACGGGCAATGATGTAGGCTAGTGCTCCTCCGAGTAATGAGACCGATCACGCTCTCTTAGTTGGCATCGAGGAATGCAGAGATCATGAAAAGGCAACATTCAAGTGTACTTGCACGCCCCAAAAAAAACGCGAATATCGAGCATGGGCAGAGCCTCTCGCGTGTAAGGGGTTTATGAAATCGGTGATCTGCAGAGCTTCAATGACATCATTTGCTCGCCCTGAATCTTCTGATGCGTGTGTGTGGGCAGCTTTTGTGGAGTTTCTCAATCGTCCAGTGTTTATTATCCGAAGCTATTCATTATAAGTTAAGCAAAGATGTGGTAAATCGAGTGAAGGAGAAAACTTTACCTGTCATTGATATCTAAGTACTTAACCTGGCCTCCGATTCTCTCTAGGCGGTGATAATTACCAGTACTTACTTTTTTTTTTTTTTCGATCGTAGCTACTTCGTATGATTTAATACACTTTTCCAAATTCCTCTAATGCATCGATGACTGCTATACGCTGAGCTACATTCTAGTTCAACCAGTCAGGTGCTCAGTAACTTTGTGGGGAAATGTACCCCACGTAATTGGAACCCTGCGTATCTCTCTTGCACAACATGGCATGACTCCGTCTATTGAGATTGAGTATGATGTGCAGCCCAGCGATCCTTTGATTTTTTGAAAATGTTGGTTTTTGCTAAATATATTTTTTATTTTACCCTTCATCGTTGTTCTTCCCGTCTTTCCAATTCTCTATCGTACCTTCATCTCCTCTAGAACAGCTTTTTCATTTTTGAGGCCGTTTCCCAACGCTTAGCTGTCAAATTGTTCCTCTTTTCTGGTCTGTACCACTTTGATTTCGAATATTGAAGCCGCCCGGCATTTTTCAAATAATTTCCCCGCCCAATTAGCAAATCAGTCGATATTTCAAGTGTAACAGAAGCGTGACATCGCGTAACCCTACTCGGTATATTGCGATAACCAACAGTTCCTCCCATTGGGGAATTCAATTTTTAGTTCCCCTTTCGTGCCTATGTCTTTCCATTTCTCCTTTCTTCGCGACGAGATTCCTGTTCTGTGGGTTGTTCTCTAATACTCACGACTACTGCCCTTCGTTTTACTTATATTTGCTTGTTGGTCATCTGTTTGGTAGTCCCGCGTTCCTGATGGTTTCCGAACATTCACCTTACCGTCTGTATTAATGCGTTGAATTTCGACTCTTCACATTCGAGGGGCACAACATTATCGGTAACATATCCCTCTCGCCGTTCTAACCCCGATGTGAGATCGAGCTATTCTACCATTTCTCCCACATTTTCAAGTCTCAAAACTGCAGTTATATGAGTATGCGAATCCAAGTTTCAAAACCCCCATGGGTGACTGATTAGATGGCACATTTGGGCATGAACTCGTCAATCCTTATACATGTTCAATCACTGTTCTTTGCGTTGCCGATTCCTTTTTCTCCATCTCAATGCCTCCTAAAACTGAACAACCTTAAACATATAAATGCTAAAGTTTTGCACTAGAACGAAAGCTGCTCTCGTGAATTGGTAGCGAGGGATGGTCTCTGTGGAAACGAGAGCAATGGTCGTCATACTTGTACGACTGAAACCTGACGTTCTGTGACTGCTCTCAGAAGCACGTAAGCGTATAGCCGACTACTAGCCTGAGATACACTCGCATAGCTTATTTCCTAAAAAGTTCGTTTCGTCGCAGCTGCGTTCCCACGTGAGTAGCCATGCCTTAGGCTTCTCATTTTTCCATATTCAATAGTTTTCACAACTTTTTTCTAGGCTGGAAGGTGAAGAGGGTGTTGAAAAGTCTTCATCTGATCGATTTTTGCCTGGGTTTTGGCTGTTGTCACATTGTGATTTTCACCATAAGGCGGCAGGTATCCGAAAAGATGTCCATTTAGAGATTTAAGAAAGTGACAACGGTGTCCGATCATTCAATTATCGCTAGTCTAAACGAACATTGCGAATGCCTCGTCCTTTTAAAACTGGTTTCCGGTCATGCGCGTCCTAATCATCTGCTTCCGGTTTTCGTAAACCGCTTATCAGCTAGCGCATACTCGGTCTTCTTGATTTTTCGGGAATCCTGGTGACCTCCGAAGAAGCCTGTCAAATTTGTTCAAGAAGTTCCAATGTTTCTAATTTTTTGTTTGCTATTTGTTTCATTATTATTCACAATATTTGTTGGCACTGCTGTACTTAGGAGTGGGAGGGGGCATCGCTATGCGGACAGCGCCTAAGAGAAGAGGATGAACTCCAGGGAGAATGAAACTTACTTCCGCACCCTCCCTTCCTTAGTCCCCTCTAAGGGATTACGAGGAGAATCTACTTAGTGTGTTGAACTCTCCGCATAACCATGTCCTCCCCTCCCCCCTTAGGTACACCACTGCCTTTTAATTTTGTGTTGCAATTTATGTTGGAAAAGAATCGCTTCAGCAGCCCGTCAGTCGCGGTATATAGACGACGACTTGGCAACACCGCGAGCTTCAACCTTTGACGTGCGGTCGGAGGCCGATCACTTGCAAACTGCTTCGATGACGTCATCGATTGTCGTAGAAAGGTGAGTTCACATACAATTCATGTTCTTTGATTATTTCGACGAGTTGTGGCAAGCGCATTCGTACTTAAAGAGCACATGATTGGAGCATTCAGGGCCGCTGGAGTTTTTTTTTGTGAAACGTGACCGCGGTTGGTGACAGCTCCGTGGCACAAATGCGCCACTAGGAGGCATAGCGGGGAACAGAATTGCAATCGTGTCAATTTTGTTTCCTGGGTTTATACTGAGGCTATCGTATCCTGCGGGCCCTCCAAAATAGTACTGATTTGGAAGTTAGTTTTGAATCAACGAGCAGCTTCGTCTCATTTGGCTAGCGGAAGGTGTTGATCCTATTGATTCTCTTTATTTTTAGCTACCTTTCCCTTGAACCAAGACCTATTCATTTCTTTGTCGTTGGGACTCACCTGT